TCCTCTCGGGATCTTGGGCACGCACACACACGCGCCCGGCGTGAGTTTTAAGACACTGTGTCCGGGACACGAACCATGGTCGACTACGTGGGAGTCCAGCGACATAGCCATTACGCTAACTGCTGGTTCCCAAAACCCATCTTTTTGAAAAACGCCTCGGGCAATTCCATAGGCAGCCAGGGTTAGACCCTTCCATCAGCCTTCCTCAGTCCCCGGCGCTGGGCCTGGGGCTGCGGGGTGAGGGAGCTGTGCCCCTTGCCAGATGTCGCTCCCAGCTGCCTCCTCCTGCCGAGGCACCTGCCCTGCCGATCAGCCGCTGGGTGAGGGCAGCTCACACCCCAGGTCCCCCTCACACTGCAGGCTCTCCCTGGAATGCCGTATTCAGTGTGCCCTGGAGGCCACGCGTCCAAGTATTACCCACTGTTCCACCGGGAGGGACAGAAGGCAGAAAAACGGGACCAGCGGGGGGAGGGGATGGAAGTGGGAGGCCAGGCGTGAATGGGTAGACAGGCCGAGGGACAGCGGGTGGGTGATGCCTTCTGCCGACCTGACTCCCAAGGTCCCATGGAGGAGCTGAGATGCTTCTGCAGACTTGGGAGGTGGCAGCAGTGCTCCTGCGTGTCCCTGGGTGCTGGTGAGCAGGTGGCTCCAAATGCAGACGGGGCCCCCCAACTGCCTCTGCGTGTCCCCGGGTGCTGGCTCCAAATGCAGACGGGGCCTCCCAGCCACCTCTGCTGCTGTGTGTGACTGAGACCCGGGGGTCAGCCCTCCCAGGCTGCCTCACTCCTCTGCACTGCTTCCAGAAGGACCCTGCCGCCCACTGCAGCAATGGAAGCCTGCTGGCCCTCTTCTGCATAGCACTCCCTCCCCACAAAGGTGCTCCACCTGGACCTTCCTAAGAGGTAATTTCCCTTGCTTTGGATAGTTGAATTTCAGCTGGTTTTGAACTTTATATAAATAGAATCGAATGCTATCTTTTGGCATCTTTTCCTTTACTTTTACATTCTGTTCAAAGATGTTTGCATATTACAGGCACCTGTGGTTCCATTGTTTTGTCGTTCTCTGTGAGCGCCCCGCTGTGTGAGGCGTGCCCTAAATGCGGCAGCCACCTCACTGCAGGCACTTGGTTGCCTGCAGGCTGTGTGTTGCCTGCAGCCTGTGTCTCTTATAGCTGCTATTATGAGTGTTCTTTTTTAAAAAATAATTATTTTATTTAACTTTATTTATTTATTTAAATTTGACCTGTGAGGGACAGAGCGAGGAGAGTGAGAGAGAGAGAAAGCAAGCCACCAGGTCTGGGACTTGAACCTCAGTTGGCCATATGGGAGTCCAGTGCCCTCAACCACCATGCCAGCTGCCGGCCCCTATTATGAATATTCTTTCACAGATAATATGGTGCACAGAACTAGGGCATATAATCAAAATGTAATTTGTAAGTCATAGTGAGTATTTATCATTTATTTTACTAGTTAAAGGCACATCATTTTCCGGAATGGCTCTACTAATTCTTTTACCAGCACGAGTTAGAACGCGATGCTCCATACCCTCGCCCACGCCGACCCTGTCCAGGTTTTACATCTCCGCCAGTCTGGCAGGTGCCCTCGTGTCACACTGCGGCTTCGCTTACCTCTCCCCGCTTCTTAGTGAGACCGAGCACCTTCTCACGTGTCGGCAGCCCTCTGGGTCACCTCTTTTCTGACATCAAACCTTGCCAATTTTTCTGTCTTCTGCATTTCTTCCTTTTTCTTACTAACTCGCAGGAGTTTTAATATATTATAAATACTGTATCTCAGCCAGTTACGTAGGTTGCAAATATCTTCCTTCCTTCCTTCTTTTTCTTCCTTCCTTCTTTCTTCTTTCTCTTCCCTCCTTCCTTCCTTATGTTTCTTTCCGTTTGCCAGAGGATTTGCACATTCCCCAGAGGGAGACAGAGAGACAGAGAAAGCACCCCCATGGGGAAGGGCCACTTTGCAATCCCTCCTCCTCCAACTCTCCATCCTGTGGAGATTTGGGGTACACATGCGTGCACACAAACACACACACACACGCCTAGGCATTTCTCAAGGTGCTGGGACTGGGATGCAAACGGTGGGGCTGCCCAGTGGGGTCTCGCTGCCTTAGGTTCCAGGCCACAGAGTGGCCCGTTTCCCTTTCTATAGCTCTTCATCTTTTCGATGATCTGTGAATTGTAAGCCATGAAGTGTGAGCGCGTTCCTTCATGAGCAGTGGTTTGTGTTGTTAAGTACTCCCTACCTTAGAGCTCTGGAAGATCTTCCCTATTTTGTTGCTCCAAGACCGGCTCTCAGCTCTGTAATCCGCGAGGGCAACTCGCTTGTACTTCAATAGGCTTTTGTTTCCGCTGTTCTATACACACCAAGCGCTCTGGAACACCCTCCTCTCATCCCCAGCAATATACCTCTACAGTGAATCAGGGTCCCACGGAGGTCTCACTCTCCCGCACTCTCTGTCCCGTTGCTAGCTCGTCCCCCTTGCCCACACTGTCAGCGTCACTGGTACAGCTTCATGAGGTTCGCTCTGTGCACATTTTTGTCCTCAGTCAAGGGTAACTTGCTTTTCTTGGCCCTTTGCATTTCCATGTAAAATTTTAGAGACTCCCTGTCAAGTTCTATGAAATCGTTTTGGGACTTTCATTGGCACTATGCAAAGTCTTTATGGATAACTTTGAGAACTGATCATTTTATGGTATTTTTGTCTTCTAAGCAATTGTGATGTATTTCTACATTTAACTACTTTTTTTTTAAGAGAGATTTTTGCTATAGGATGCGTACACTTACTGGAGAGACAGAGAGACAGAGAGACAGAAAGCATGAAATCACCCTGCCCCCCCACCCCCAGGGGAATGGCCATGCTGCAATCCCTTCTCCTCCATTCTCCTCTCAGGATTTTGAGCACACACGCACATGTGCCTGGCATGAGTTTTTGGTTGCTAGGTCTGGGACTTGAACCGCGGTCGACTATGTGGGAGTGCCGCGACGTAATCATTACACCACCTGCTGGCCCAGACTACTTTCTCTTTCATGTCTCTCAATAGTATCATGGTTCACTCACAGAGATTCACACAGTTTTTATAAATTTATTCCTAGGCACTTACCTTTTAAGGCTATTAGAGATAGCAACTTAAAGATGTATTTTTTAATTTGTTCTGTTATATGAAAATTATATCAATGTTTGTATATTCACTTTATATCCTACAACCGTACTAAACTTTCTGATTAATTCCAATAATTAATCTGTATATTGTTTCAGATATTCTACTATACATAGTCTTCAAAGAGTTCTTGAAAATGCACATCATCAAAAATGCATTAATTAAAAAAATTTTGCACCAAAATAAACTCACACTTGAATTTCACTTCCCATAAGCATTTTGAAGTACCCTCACGTTTACAATTGTGACAGTTTAATGCCCACGACCGGTACACGCACCTCCCGTCTCATTTTCATCTCCTTGCTTTATGCATTGGCTCAAGTCTGAGTACCGCACTAGCTGGAAACCACTAGGCTGGTGTTCTTCTCTAACGCTTCACTTCCAGGGGCGCCTTCAGAGCTTTAGCGAGACGGATAACGTTTCCTCTAGGTATTTCGTACGTAGCGTTTAGAGTTCTAAAGGCTTTTCTTCTATCCTAAGTTTGTGAATATTTCTTATCGTGGTCGGACAATTCTGCTTAGACGGGGCTTTCTGCTGTGACCCTCCCGGCTGTGCTCCGGAACCGGACATCCGGCACACACCACACCTGGTCTTGTTCCATTTTATTTTGCTTCTTACAGCTAGCTGTACGTCTCTGTGGAGTACGAAGTGTGCGTGCAGTGCGAGAGAACCAGGAGTAATCCCGTACTTAGTTTGAGCAGAGAACACCGCGTTAGGTGTGCACGGTTAGTCTGACAGGACTGGCAAGGTTGGTCCCTCACTCAGTGGCGGCTGCTGTTCTGCAGCTCATCTGCCCCGTCTGCCTGCATTCCTGTGTCTGCTAAACGCCTATTCCCTGACCCCTCCGACACCCCCAGCCCTCACCCACTGTGCAGTCTCCGGTCTCTGCGGTCATCCTCCTCCTCTGCGTCAAATCTTTCCATCTCTGCCGTGGGGTGTGGACATTCAGTGTGCACTGAGCAAGGGCACGCAGCGTTTGCATTTCCTGGTCCGGCTTATTTCACTCAACATTACCTCTGCTACGTCCGTCCATTCAATACCGTGGCTCGTTCTTTCATTTTCGAGCTTTCTGTATTCTTGTGTCTTGGGCATATCTTTTATAAACAACATATAGTTGTTTCAAAACCAAACCCGCCCTGATCTGAGAGTCTGCTCTGAGCAGAGCGGCCCGCGGGGTGCAGGGGAGGCGCGAGGCAGGGGTGAGGCCACCGCCCGAGACTGGAGGCGCAGCACTTCCCTACCTGGGCGGGGAGGTGCCTCGGCCGCTGCGCGCCTCCCACGGCCTGTGTTGGTGGCGGGGGTGAGCGGCAGCCCCTCCGTGTGAAGCCCAGGCCGTCCTCGGGGAGGCGCCAAGTGCCAGGCCTGGGTGCGCTCGTCGGCAGGGGCGACCGTCTAAGGAGCTGCCAGACCTCCGGCCACAAGCCGGGCGAAGTCCAGGCCCAGCCGCGTCTCGTTGGCCTCTCCCGAGGTGGGAGGGTTACATGGGCTGTGGCCCTGCTTCTTCCGCCCTCTCCACTTGCCTCAGCTTCCCCGGGTCGGGCCGCCGGCCGGGGCCCTGTCCAGGACCGAGGCCCTGCCTGGTGGGAAGGCCGTCCCAGAGTGCGGGGAGGAGCGAGTCTTTCCTGGCTGGCCCGAGGAGCTGTGCATTCATGCTGGCCAGCGCTGGCCGAGGTGGGTGACACATTTACCCGCACGTCTGCCTTGTGCACCCCAGGGGATGGCAAGGGGGGAGTTGGCTCAGGTTCCATGCCCACGCCGAGTGACGGGGACCTGGGAGACCTGACGGGGCTCCGCCCTGCCCTGCCCTGCCCTGCCCTGCCCTGCCCTAGGGCTAGATGGACTCTGGCTTGCACAGAATCTGCATCTCCAGCCTCTCAGTTCTCTCCCAGCATGCCATTCTGGAACCCCGTGGTCTTCGCTCCCTAGAGAGTCAGAATAGAGCGGAGGGAGACTCACTCAGCTCGGTGAGAAGGAAGAAGAGATTTCGAGAGAGCACGTGAAAGAGGAGGCCCTGTGCACGTAACAGCTGGCCTGCCTCCTCCACTGCGGCCCTGCTCGGCCGCAGAGCCCAGAGCAGAGACGTCACTGCTAAGAGCAGACGCCGCTCTGTTCACCGGGGAGGAGGTGGTTCGTGGGCCGCGAGTGCTTCCTCAAGCCCACATGTCGCTACAGGCGTCACGGCGGGATTCGAAACAGCCGCTGGCGCCTCCGAACCAGCCGCTGGCGCCCAGCCCAGCCTCACACCATCGCGCCGTTCAGTCTCCCAAGGGACCCCCCCCTACTCCCCGCACCGGGAAAGCGGCGGAGTAACAGCAGTTGAGGGCCTTGATCTCGTCTCTGCCGCTGCTTACTCACGTGGCCTCAGTAATGTCCCTTCACCTCGTCAGCCCTCCTGTCTCTGGGGTGGTAGTAACACCCCGTCCCGCGCTCAGCGTAGGCGCCGGGCTATGAACTAAAGGGTGAGCTTCTGGTGTGCTGTGGTCAGAGCAGTTGTCACAGGAGTGTGGAGAAGGACCCGGAGCCTCGGCTGTGGTCTGGCCTGGGTTGAATTTGCCACACAAATTCAAAGACATCTGTCTTCCCTACGTCACCTCCAAAATGCAGGTTTGGTCACCTCCCCGGGGAGTTTCGGAGCGAGGCGCATACCCTTCAGAATGTGAGTGCAGGGGCCGGGGTGTGCGGAGCCAGGCAGGAGCGCCCTCCCTGCGGGGGTGGCAGACGGAGCTGCTGAGGACGCAGTGGATGAGTGGGTGCTGGTGCTGTTCAGTGCCGGCAGGTTCTGCGTGATCATGGAGGCGTAGACACGCTCCTCGGTGTCCGGAAGGAGGTTGAAGTTGTCCAAGATGTCAGAGGAAGGACGGGCTCCAGCAGCAGGTGGAGGCTGAGGAGGGAGACGGCTGTTAGCGTCCCAGGAGGCAGAGGGACCGCTGAGGGTCGGCCCTGACGAGTTCCAGCTGGGAGGTTCTCAGCCGGGACGTCTCGGAGCATCAGGACTGGCTTAGCCGTTTAAAACGGCTATGTCTCACCAACGCCCTGTTTCCTTAAGTGCACGCACACACACACGCACACACACGCACACACACGTATTCTACAGACAGGTTTCTAACGGGATAAATTCTCTGCGGTCTCTCTCTGTAAAGGGGCATCCTGTGCGACTGCTCTGGGCTCTTTGCTGAAAGCCTGGGGCCTGCTGGGCTTCGAACAGCTCTTTACCCAGCGTGGTGCTGAAGACAAGCCAGCCAGATCCACGGCCGAATCCGAGCAAAGTCAGGGACGCAGCGCACGGCTAGAGAACGACCCGGGTTTAGGGCAGGGGACGGGGTGACCGGCGTTCCAGCACACATGCGCTTGCTGTGAGGTCACTGGATCCCAGAGTCCCATGCTGGGTGACAACTGAGGTTCGACTTAGCGTCAGGGCCCGGCTGCTCCCTCAAGTTAGCCTCTCTGGAAAGCAGCAAGCTGGTGCCCTCTCGCTCCCTCGGTGGGGAACCCCAGTCCAGCTCCAGACCCTTGGGGAGATGCGTGGACAGTGAGACCCAGCTGGGATGGTTACGGAGTGACCGTGTGAGGACTTGGGACCGCAGGGTGCCAGACACGTGGCTCAACGTTGTCCTGGAGGCGTCTGGGCAGCGTTTGCGACTGAGAGTGACCGTCGAGTCTGGGCAGCGTTTGCGACTGAGAGTGACCGTCGAGTCCGGGCGGCGTTTGCTGCTGAGAGTGACCGTCGAGTCCGGGCGGCGTTTGCGGCTGAGAGTGACCGTCGAGTCCGGGCGGCGTTTGCTGCTGAGAGTGGCCGTCGAATC